ATCGCAAAATAGCACGTGACTGGATTTGCGCCCTCTTTATGAAAACGGTGTATTGTGACTCACCTGCTGCCTGAGCCACAGACAATGCTTGTTTGTTTGCACCAGCCAGTATCTGTACTCCACAAGGAATGTTAGGGCATATCCCCTTTATATGTGAACAGATGACACTCATAGATGCAGTAATTTCATGTCCCACACTGTCAGTATGCATGTAAGGAATGTCATGCATATTCTCTACTATAATACCATCCTATAAGAAATTTAAAGCATCAATGTCAATATCAATCATTTGGAGTGGAGTCTCAGATTAGTTGACCCTCAGATCTGAAGATATACTACACATCCCACTTTTACACCAACTACTATCAACTTTTGTTAGAGAAAAATTTTAATGAGCCAGGGAAAATTGTTATTTATTGCAGCAGTGAATATTTCACTGGGATCCTTAAGGCCAGACTTTTATTATCCCTTGTTTCGCGAACCCACCGAATGAACAGGAGCCGAAAATGAAATAAAAATAAAATTTTATTTCAGCGTAATTTCTCGCTCCCGCCGACTTGTAATGCTAAACAAATATTATTTTTATCTTCATTTTTTTTACCGCCCGCCGCATAACAAACCCAAGTTGCATTTTAGTGGGAGTATCATGATCAAAGTACCGAAGTCTCGCGCAGATGAGAAACAAGGTTATACATGGAATAAAATTTTATTTCATTTCCTCTCTTCGATCAATGATCTCACTTACAATTCTTTGAGAATCACACAAATCTAATGGGAAAAAAAGAATTAATTTAATTTTTGACCCGCCCTCCTCAAAAAAATTGCCTTATAAAAAAAAATTTGAGAAACAAGAAATAAAAAAAAGTCTGGTCCTAACCTTTTCACCACCAGTTCCCACTTTTCATCACAAATTTATAAAATAGTCCTGTTTATAGTCTGCAGTTTTTTTCAGAAGATTGTTTCTCAACTTGTCTATTTAGTTTCAAGCAGTGTTCAAGATGGCCACCCCCATATAGTAAATATTGGTGGATTAATGGCATTTATCATATTATCACTTGTATGCCAGCTGACTGTGGCCATTTTCAGGCTCAAATCATTCAGGGGAAACCAGACATGTACCAGGCTGCATAAAAACATTCTATGTCCCTTAATGTAATATAGACTCGCCTAGAGTGTACGTGATCACAAGCCGGCACCAGTGAGATTCGAAAGCCAACTGTTTAGTCAAAACTAAAGCAGTTAGGCAATTCGCAAGCGAGTTAGCAAATTAGGCTGCCCCAATACTTTTGAGACTTGCTGTAAAGGAAAAAAAACATACTAGATTCAAATGATATAAACTTTGGGAATTATTTGATGGGTGATACAAAAACCCCATGAATATTAACAACACTGATTTGGTGGCCATTTGTTGGCCATTTTGAGTAGATCTAATTTTATAGAACAGTTACTGTCACTGTCATCTTGTTCCAAACACCAAAACATCAACATTGCCAGCTAAGTTGCTGACTAGTTTGTTATGTGCATCTTGAAATACATGTAGTTACATGATTAGAACTGATTACCGGAATTTTAACCACTTTTCGGAGGGTGCGCCATCTGAATAAATTACGAGCGTTATAAGACACACCAGACAAACCATCGACTGTGTCCTGACATTTCATACTGTGTCAGTACATATATTTTGTTTGGATAACTTTGCCATCTATTTATTTATAACAATTTATACAAAATATAATTCACAAAATAGTCCCGTTTATTGACTCAACTTTTGCCTGTTGGCTCCAAAATCAGGGTTCATTTCCAGAAATAATGAAGAATATTAGAAAAAAGCGCAGAAAAATTTATTAAAATTATTATAAAATGTAAAATCTTGCTGATCCAAGCAGTGTGTCAAGAAGTGCAGTTTTGACTGAAAAAAGTTTGGAACATACCACGCCTGCTTCTTTGTATATTTCAGCTTCTTTGCAAGCAGCTTCTGTTATTTCAGAAATCTTCTGTTTATTTCGTGGTGTTCCTTGGATAATGAAAATGCATTGCATTAAAGAAAAAAGAGACTTTTATAAGAGTGTACGTAAGTATTACACATTGGCAAATTCACAATAGCAACCAGAAGTACAACTTAACATTGCTAATGAAAGATGCAATGAAAAATCTACTCCTATACCAAGAAATATACAAATCCTCTTGGTATATTGCTTTTACTAATCAGTGATTGAATGAGACATTACCCTTGGAGGTAAATAAAGATTTTAAATGATCAAAATTGGCCCATTAAATTTCATGCAATACGTCGTGTGAAATGTCACATAATGGAAATTGAATACTTTTTTCCCTTCTCCGCATTGGTTACATAAGCTTATCTCTCTATCTGTTACTCCAGCAACCATTCAATAGTACAGTTACCTGGTAAGGCTCCAACATGTATCATACCAATAACAGCAGCATGGGTTCTTCCAAACATTCCAGAAAATGATTTTAAAGCCATCTTGCTTAGTGACATGAATTACAAAAAATATAATTCAGATCTACTCTGTTCCTATTTACTTGTACTCCGGAAGGGACAGGAGAGAGTTGTTCACCAGTCAAACATTTGTTTCGCAGCTGTAGTTGTAGCAGACCATACGTTACAAAAGTCCAAATGTAGACTAGTATTGAATGTAACGACGAGTAAATGCTGGGAAATCGGCCAAAAAAACACAAACAGTAAAAACACACGTTTGGATATTTTTTAACTTCAACAGCTGACTTGTCACGTGAGTGATGGAAACCAATCACTGGCGAGCGTAAACAACAGCATAAACTTTTGTCGATATGGAAGTGATGAATTAAATTTCATGAAATATGTTAGTAATACTTGTTGGATGCTCACAAACTATTAATTTTATATATTTAATATCATTTATAGCCATATAGCACGTTATTAAAACTCATGCTTACTTTTTCCGAGATTAAAAACTCGCTGACATTGACCCCCATTACTGACCTATAACCCCCCTTTCCGTCAAGCTTCTAGCAAAGTATTCGTACGATAAAAAAAACTTTAAAATATTCTATCTTTTGGGAAAATGCCTCCCGATATTTAAACAATTATTGCATGTTTCAAATAAATATTTTTTTCGTGTTTTTGCGGATTTTTGGGACGAATTCTTGAATTTCCCCGCCAATGGTGTGAATATGCGTAATACAGCTGCGTGCGAGATTGGCGCCCTGGCTCTGAGTGAGTTCTGTTCATTCATTTTATACGTCCCGAATCTGGTGGGTTTTATCGAGTGCCTACGCACCAAATGGCTCAAAATTCGCCATATGTGTAGTTGGAATGTCTATCAACTTGTATACGGAATGTCATAGTGGTATTTTCACCCGTTCTTGCAATATTCGTCTTCAAGCTGGCTCCTTCTTTGTCGACCAGATTTCCCCCATATTGGTTTCTTCCTTCGGTCTTCGGAACACAATACCCGAGTGAAGATCTCGAGCTTTTCTGAAAAAGTTTGTAAAGTTTCGGTATTTTTGACAGAACATTTCAAGAGATTGTATATTTCTTGTTACTGTGAACTATTTTTTGTGTCAATTTTGGTCCGGCAAGTATTTTTGCCATTTTTTTCTTTGGTTATTGCTGGCGCGAAACTTTGGCCTCAATGATAGCCTTATCGGGGTGCCCGGACAATCACATACCATCACAGGACGAGGCGGCGAACCCCGAATATTTATTCGACATGCTTCGCTGCAATACGAAATACGACTAAGGCGTCCTAGTTCTTGCCTACTCACATTTCTTAATTTTTGTTTTCTAGGTTTATTTTAATTATTTGAGCATCTTGGAAACATTTAACATGTCAAGACGAAGGTATGTCGCATAACCATATTCTTGTGTGTATACAAATGTCTGGGGCCGACTCTATATTACTATTTATTTTTTCCGGATTTTTCTTTGTGCTTTAAAAATATTATCTGATATAGTATAATTGCATCCGGTTGTACTTATTTACAGTGGGCGCTTGGCGAAGAAGGGCGATGCAGAAGAGGTTAAGCTAGTTGTATGTGGGAAGAGAAAAGCCGAGTGTGCATTGGAGGTAACATAGCTGTCATTCATTCTGCCGGATCCATTCATTCACTAAATCTGTTCGTATTTCATTCATTCATGTCCCAGCATATCGACCAGCTGGCTTTCGGGAGAAAATTAAATTATTCTATTCGTGATATTTACAGGAAGAGAACAGGACCATGCAAATTCAGAGGAGAAGACAGCAGTTTCAGATAAAGGTAAGACGTTTTGTCAAATTTTCCGGAATTGCATTTTTGCCGGGATTTTTGTTGTGTTTCGGTCGTGATTTGGGTTCGCGCCACAGTCACGTACTCCCGCCAATTTTTTACCGCGAAATAAGCACAACACATATAGATTTAATTTTTTTCACTGCAAATATCAAACACATTTTATGCTGTAATATTCTGCATTTATATTTCGTAGTATTATATTCCTGTTTTTCTTGCTGTAGATTTAGAACCGACCCCGTTCTGTTGAGCTGTCATTTACTTTTTGACAAGTGCTAGCTCATGAATATGTATGAGTAAAACTTTGAGTAGTTGCTTATGATGAGTTGTTTATTTTTTTTCGTGTTTCTGGCTTTTAACCCAATACCAGCTTTCAGAATTACACACAGGTAATATTATATTCAGGTTTGATGAAATTATATAACAATTGAATGTTTTTGGATTTTTTAAAATGTGAAACTGTTTGAATTCTGGTACTGTATATCTATGAATTTGACTTCATACTTATTTGACAAGCCTTACAATTCATTTTTTCAAAAAGAATTGCCAAAACAAACCAGTGGAGATATGTTAGGTTTAATCTGTTATACATTTAAAGGTGCATATTTAAGGAGTCATTTCAGTTTGTTTAAGGGTAGGTCATTTAAATATCATGATACAACATGTTATGGTTAGCGTGCATAGTAAGTAATACCATTATGCTTTTTAGTTGTCATATCTACCTGTTAGGTGTATGCATGGGGTGTATGTTTCTCAACTAACCCACTACACTGAGCACCGATTGGTAAACTTTATCACATCCATGTGCATAAATAAATTTAAAAAAAGAAATCATGTTTCAACTTGTATCTTTACTGTAAAAGTGCAAACTAATGTAGGTGTGTTTTATAAACTTTAAATTTTTTTTGCTTAAATACAACAATGATTTATGTTGCAATTTTTTATTTGCTTTTAAGCTTCGGTTTTTTTAACATCAGATATTTGGTTCATGAAAGCGCATTAATAACTCAATTTTTATGTGAAGTTGAGTTGACCTTACTAGAATTGTTTTTTTGACAGGGCATGTTTCGGCTAGCATTTCTGGCCATGGAGTTTTGCAGCCACATGTTGTACATAAAGCAGGCTTATTGGCTATGTGCATGTTTTATGTTGCCTTGACTGGTTAATTAAAATCGTACTGAAATAATATAAATGATATATAATAGTTCTTTTACTTATAATAACTTGTGTTGCAAGCACAGTATAATTTGTATGGTGTATCTTTTTTATGAGCGAAAAGTACATGGCCAGAAATGCTTGCAAAAATGTTCTATCGTTTAAAAAAAACAGGATGTAAATTACTCTTGAAGTACAAGCCTCTTGAAAAATGTGGAAAATTTTTCTTTTAAATTGAAAAAAAATAGCTGTGCATATGGATCCAGGTTTCCAAAAACTTGTATACACAAAAAGAAGCCCAAAAATCTTAACAATCCTCTCCTCTTTTCTAGCAGCATTTAGATTCACTGAGGCTTAAATTTCATTTGTTCAGTTCATTGTTTCATTTTTGTGGTCAGCCACTGTTCTAAGTTTGGGTTTCTGAAGAGGTCGTTGTCAGCTCCTGTTAATGAAAGCCTGCTGTGGTGCAAATCAAAACTTCTGCCTGAAGCGGCTAGTTTTTCTTTCCCATTCAGAGGTGGTTTTATTAGGTTTACCGGGTATTTCTTAAGTGTGTACTTGTAATATAAGTTTTAACGAAAAACATGCACAGCATAACCACCTTTTTTGGGTGGGGGCTAGATATAGCATGGAATTGTCCTTGTCTTGAAAACCAACATCCAAAGCTTGAACACTTAATTGCATGTTGTGGTGTTTGGAAATGTGTAGCGTGGTTTCATGGTATATTCCTCAGTTGTCAGTTTTATTCTTTGAATTGAAGAAGCAGTCTTGTCTGACGGGTCTATTTGTAACGAATAATTAACACTCCGACACATTTGAGAATTCACAATAGAAACTTATGCATGCCTCTTAATTGGTACAAAAATGCAAATTTCATTTGAGGCGCCTCCTTAATTTTATCTTGTTAGATAGTTGTCATGTCTTTTTACAACATGCATACTCTTGTGAACTGTTTTTTTCGTGTATTCTCTTTAACCATTTAAAGGGGAACGGACAAAATCCTGTTTATTAGATGAAATGTGAGCTTGAGGTCTGGGTATCCATTCACGTGAACCTATTTCATGGCATGCACAATTTAAGATTTCTTGGGTGTACAGCAATATCCAATCAACTGGCAATAATTTTTTTTTTCTTAAAACCTACCATTTCATGGATATGACTTCATAGATGAATACTACATAAGCAATGTTGTACTAATTAGCAATTGTTATATTTGTTATAATAGTGAAATTCAGTGTTTTTATTGAGGCCAGTAAGCAGGTAACTCAATGTAAAGTTTCCCAAACTTATTAACCCAAGTTCCTCACATCAGTTTAATGTATAGTACTAGTGCTTTATGCAATAAATGTTACCATAATAGTGATGCCTGTATTCTGTGGGAATTCAATTTTGCTATGAGCCATGGAACTAAAACAAAAATTGAGTTAATAGTTCTTGCCAAGTTATGAACTGGGTTGACTCGGACACATGTTTCATGCAAGACTGTTTCTTGTTGTGGTAGTCAATTTCTAATTTGCTCGACAATGATATGATGGGTAATTGTTGAATGCATACCATCTTTGACTACATGAAATCCCTATCCCATAACCCTCTCTGTCAAGTTCTCGTGTTTGCCTGTTTAATTCCGGTCTATCTTTTGGTCGATTGTTGATGAATGGCATGCTTAATTAATATACTTCTGCGTTTATTGGCAACAAGTGAGTCTTTTTGATTTGTATACCCCCAAGGTTGTAATACAATGCACAGGACTGCTGCCTTTGATGACATTTACGTGTTGCGTGAGGTTTCCGGTCTTTGAAGGATAGTTGGGTGTTAAATACTCATTACACTCCTTGTTATTGTCGGATGTGATCATTTGTTACAAAACAATAAAACCAGGCTCAGTGCAGGGGCATTATGACGTCTTAAGGATGGAATAACTTTACAAAACATTGGCTCCTCCTGTGCAACCAACTCTGCTGTAAAGTAAGTCCATTGGCTGAACAAATGCCTCTTTATATTGATGTCTTGCATTTGGCAAGGTAGATGCCCTGGACAGCCAACCTTATTGACCTGGAGGGTGGTTGCATACATTATTGAACACATCTAATGTCTGTTGTATTAGATGATCATCTTCTGTTGTTTTCAACTGCTATATTCATTATGCTGCATGTAAGATAATGCACACAGATGAATAGATGGTGTGTCTAGTGATGTAATGCATGTAGTTACATTGCTTTGTCTACCTGTGACATGATATTGTTCATCCTGTTAAAGTATTTAATGGATGTCAAGAATAATCTAATTTATTCTACAAAATCTTTAATTTGTTTCATAAGTGAATATTCTGGTTAATGAACTTAATTATCAGGGGTTGATGGATTACCTAATTGACTGGTAAAATCTGGATTTTTTTTTCTATTTGTGTTTGTTACGGCCAAACAGATTCTGGCATTATAGTAAAATTTTACTGGAATTATGCTAATCTGCCTACTTTCAAGTTCATGTGTATTCTTTAGTGAAAATAATTTTAGTTCTGTGTGTAACTGGTATAACTGACAATTCTTTACGTTTTTTCTAAACATTTTATTTTTAAGTAATTTATTGACCAATTTAGCACAAAGATCAGACTTCACAACGTACATGCCTATACACATGTATTACTTACTATTGCCATATGCATTGTGTAAAACTAGTACTTGTATATGTTGTATTGTAAATTGATTCTGCTAAGTGATACAGGTTAAGCGATGGTTGAAAAAAGAATATTGGTATCATCCCCCCCTCAATTTCAATTTGAAAAGTTGTGAAAACTGCTGATTTGAATTGTACAAGTGATTGGGTGATTGCTGCGTATCATATGGCAGGTTATATGGATAAAAGCTATGTTTAGTAATTATATGTTCCTGCCAAGTGGTTTTGCAAGGAAAACCATGTTTTATGTGTAGTTGTTGTATTCTTTTCCTCATTCTTTAGAAAATAGGGTACTCTATCAGTCCAAGAATTTCCTTGGCTATTGAGGGGTGCTGGCATACCATTAGTCTTCTATTTAGCACCAGCATCTATTGACGCACATGAAATTGTACTTTTATGATCACTTTAACAATTGCTAAAATTTCTTTTTGTTGCCGAAACAATATTGTCGCGTGGCTGCTCTATAGTTTCATCACTTGCAGCAGCTGTTCCAACCGCCTTGTCACGTGCCTTGAAAGGCGGTGTCCTCATCAATATTCAGTAGGTGCTGTTCTCTTAACAAACGTAACAACAAAAGACACAATAATCTGGGTTTTGTAGACAAGGTCATATCAGTGCATGTTCGGAAGATCAAAGAGGAGCAGACTGCTTTTTGCTGTCAAAAGCACAGTATTTGACTTTCCAGGATTTTGTGATGGTGCCTCAGACTTTGAGATCACTGAGTGTTCTTGTATGCATTGATGTAAGTTGTAGACTTGGATTGATGTTTTAAGCTGAGATGAGATGATGCCATAATGTTATGTTGTACCTTGCTATAAGTGCATTACCAGTTAATTGCATGCCTCATTCAAGTCTTGGCTTTTCACTTCATTCTTAAATGTAGTGTTAAAAGCCTCACTCCTTAATTAATGGTGACACTGCATTTAGATACAAGCAGAAAGACGCGACAGTGCCAGACTTGTTCATGCTTGTGACCATGACCTTTGTATAACATTCTTCCATCTGTACCTTTCTTGCAGAATTCGTGGATTCCTATCTCTGAAAGCTCCAGCGTAGCAACATGTAGTCTTGTACCAACAGTATTAGATACCCACGAAGACAGGCTCCCCGCCACCCCAGTGGATTTTGTACCACATTCCAAGTTCCAGTTCAGGAATCTCTTTCCTATGCCTTCTCTGAGGACGTCGCCACTTCCGTTTCTAAACTGGGCAGATTCTAGAGAAGTGTGGGATGTGATGGTACAGAAAGAGAGTAGTTACACAAGAGACGATAAATTCCTTGATAGGCATCCTCATATCCATGCCAAAATGAGATCAATTCTTTTAGACTGGCTTATAGAGGTAAGTTTTATCTGTTTTCCTACCCCACACATCTGGCATTGTTGTGTATGCCCCGTTCTCAACATGTGTACCATGACTTGTGGATGTGAAAAAGTTGAAATTGTATTGTTTCAAATCTGATGAGCAACATGCGTAATGGATTAATTACTTGTACAGTGACAATTTGTTACATGATATTTAATATTCTGGTAGAATGTACTCAAGTCCAGGGTTTTGAACTTTGAACTCATTTCAGGTCTGGCCTGGTGGAGGGCGTTTTGATACCTAGTCATTGATGAGTTCATTTCCCCCCAGTTTTTCAAAAGCTTATTATATATATTGTCTTCTTACAAATGTATGTAGTGATACCAAGCAGTTTTGTCTATATCTTCATGTGTGTAAAGTTCATTTTCCATGTCTCAAAGCTAAAACGGATGGCTTGCGATACAGAATGAACATCATGCTTAAAACAAAACTAAAGTTGGTATAGTAAAATATCCGTCCAAAACTTTATTGGTGATGACTGGAAGTGAATCAACAATCAAGTTTAAGATGAAGAAGACATTGCTCGATCTCCACTTGATGCTGAATTGTCATGTTTGAAAATATAAGTCTTTTGTTGGGGTTACATATTTGCATATATTTTTTTCCTGTTTCAAAATGACCCCACTGATGGTGTCTTATAAAATGTGGTAATAGCAAATAGTTGAGAATGTGTCAAAACATTAGTTCTTTACTGTAGTCTCATTTGCATATCTTTATGGTGTGATACCTCGTAAAATCTTCGTTAAACTGGTTATTTAAAAAAAAATAATGTGGCGACATTTAAGGTTTAATGAATGGGTTTCCATGGTGTTAAGTCAGCTAAATAGCTGTCTATTTGACTTGTTCAGCCAGCTACTATGCATTTTTTAAACACACAACCTATAAAAGTGTCTCATATTGGCTGACTAGTTTCTAAATCGAGCCACCTACTCCAGAACATGCTGAAATTTTGGTCAACTTATTTCATAATTTATGTCACTTAAAACAATACTCTCGAGATTTTGAGAAAGGATACTTTAAAATCTGAATGAAATATCATTACATGCCATTCATTGTACTGGACAAGATATTGTGAAGCAAGGTCAAAGGTCACTTCCTCTACATCACTGCTACCTGGTTTTCGCTACCCAGGTTTAACCATTAGTCTCATTTTCCCATGACCTTTGGTTCCACCAGGTATCTGAACCGTTACCTGTACCTCCCACAAATATAAAAAAAAAGTCTGACCATTAAGTTTGAACTGAACTGAAGGGAAGTAATTTGGCTTCATCATAACAGCTTCGTAAATGTTGAATTCAACACTATTGAGTAGGTTTTGTAAGTTGAAAGTAGATGATGTGTGACTGGAATCCAAGCCCGGGAGTGAGCAGTTCACTGAAAGGTTGCACTGATGCTTTGCTAAAATGAGTGGTTGCATTGCAAATAAGTGTTGACTATCGGCTGTCATTTTTTTTATATGATCCATATTTCACTTGTGGGTGTTTATTTCTCTGCCAAGCTAGCATGGCTAACCTTGTTCCATTTGTTTCACTTTTTGAGGGTCTTATTTTGTATCTGACTATTAAGTGTAATAGGATTACAACCAGCGTGACCAAAATACAGTGCTTTTAAAAACACTTTGTCAATTGAAGAAAAGATAGTTGTTTGGTCTGTTACTTAATGCTATATATAAACGTGTGTAATTATGTGGTGAAAATTACCTTCAATGTGAATGGAATAAATTTTCAAAGCCAAATTAGATTTCTCCATTATTCTAGAAAATGTAATAAAAGTTCTTGCATTGATCTTATCCCTTTACAAAATTCTACTTTTGTAATCTTTCAGAAAACACAATTGTATGAATTTTTCAAGACCTGTAGCCAGGGGGAAATTATGTCCATTTGGTTCAAAATTTACAATTAATCGCCTAAAAATTCGAAAGTGGTCAAAATATTCAACCAAAATTGATGGCATTATGAGTTACCAGTATTCAATGTAATCAAAAAATTACCAGGTTAATTCATTGTTGGGCTGTGGTTGCCTGATGCAGTCCTGACGTACTTTAGTTGCAGGTTTGCTTGTCATATTACTGTAAAACTGGGACACCATCGAAAAGTGCAGTCACTTGGAAAGTTTTTTTAAAACAAAGTTTCTCGGGTGTAAGATTTGTTGATTGTCTCCCAAACTCCTGTCACTCGGCTGATTGGACAGTTGTTCATGGTCACATAACCATGTAGCTCTACTTTGCGAGAAATTTATCCAGCACGTGTTGGATAAGACAGAATGAAAAAAAAAATGCCACTTTAAAGGTTTCTCAGTTTCCTAGACAAATGGCACATAGAACTTTTCACTAACAAGCTTCGTGACAACATTTGACCATTATGGAAATTCAGTTCACATATCTGGCCTACATTTTGTTTGCATGCATAAATTTAACTTCCCATGAAAGAACTGTCATTAATAAAAACGAAACAGTTGCGGACTTTTTCAATAAAAATTTGATAAATGAAAATAGTGCCCCCCCCCTGAATGTAGTGTTCAAACAGATGTGCAATAATCTCTGGTTGCTTTATTTTTTAAATACAGTATTCTAGCCAGTACACTCTGCCATTTGAGACACAGGGGTCAGTTATCACGGACAATTGAAAATTTCATTGCAGTCAATTGTGTCAAAAATGTGAATACAATTTCCTTTCAACCTCTATTAATTAAATGACAGTAGTTGGTTATTATATTAGCATTGACAGTCACAAGTTTTTATGCGATTTCATTAGGTTTCATTGCTCAGTTAAAAAAAGAGGCGTGTCTAGAAAGTCGCATACTTTTGCCTCATTAATATGTAGCAGGTGGTTGACATCCACAAGTGGTTGACAAACAAAACTTGTTAATATTTTGTGTAAAGTCTCAAAGATAAGGGAGAAAGGCAGGTGGTGGTTGCAAGTGTTTGTTTCAAACTGCTAAATGTTGGTTGGCATGAACTGTTCTGGTTGTCTTGTCTGTCGTAAGTAATTTGGTACTGGATTGTCAATATTGAAAGTACAGGTGTGTCAGTTTAAATCAACTTTCCAATCAACAACCAAGCTGTTAACCTTTGTAAATGGATTTTTAGTGACCTGTGAAGTGGCTCCCATGTGCTATTTACAGTGTTGGTTGGATTTGTGTCGTGTTGCTAATTTGAGGTTTTGTATGTACATGTATGGTGTAAATATATCGTGACAAATATAAACTGGACCCTCCCTCATTATGTATTGTCATAAAAAAAGTATCTGTTCATGAAAGACAGTTTCATGAAATTTGTATGTACCATCTTGCCATTAACTATGGAATATGTTACCTTTGAAAATGACAAACTGTTTTGAGGTAAACTAAAATTTACTGAAGTATAAATAGGTATATAGAAAATGCGCAGTGGTGTAAGAAAAGCACTTGCAATCAGAATTATTCAATCATTTCACTCGTGCATATACAAAACAGAATTGTGAATGAAGTATCTGTATCATCCTTTAAGTTATTGTGATATTGTGTCCATAAACATGTGATACAGTACATTTTGGTGGCATAGCTAGAAAATCACTATTGAGTAATTAACAAGTGAAAAAAAAAAACGCTCCCTTCCAAAAACCCTCTCTGTATAATGTAATATGATATGGCATGTTTCTATAAAGCCTAATCACTGTAAATTTACTTGACAGAATAGTCAGTAAAGTGGGGGTGGGATGATGATTTGGACTTGTCGGCTGGCTCTAAGCGAGACCCCTGCAGAGTACACCATCTCTGCTCTATGAATAACAAACTACTTTATTTGTGTCTTTTGTTATTGGTCATACTTTTTAAACTGATGGAATAATTGCACACCACATATTTAATTCCTGGTGAGAACACTAGTAGTATAGCTTACACATTATACCCAGACCACCTAATATGTGGTATTAGATTAGGGAGAATGGCATTTAGATTGCATCAGAATGATAAAAAAATGTTTGTACTGCATGTCCAGCAGCACCACTGCACCCTAAGAGCCAAGGCATCCTCAATGCAAAGTGGAGCAGAATACATCAGAGGATCAGGCATTGTTTTTTTATGAATGGCTGATAAATGGCTCTCCTGAACATAGTTAATAGCTGATTAGGGGAACTATCCAATTAAAATCTATTCAGAATGGTCAAAATTGAAAATGATAATTAGCTCTCACGGGTCTTAATAGTTGCCAGATTGATAGCTGAGTCAATTGATCAGTTCTGCAATGGTATTCCCTGGATGATTGTTTTTTTTTTATTATCTAATTTTCATCCCTTGAACTGCATTCCAAATTTATTTTGTTACCTGTTTAAGTAAGTGAAATAATTAACCCTCAAACCGTGACAACTGTTTTATATGGGGTATTCATATTGGCTTTGTTTTTGACTTGCAGGTATGCGAAGTTTATAGGCTACACAGAGAAACTTACTACTTAGCCCAAGATTTTGTAGATAGATACCTAGCAACACAGAAAGATATACCCAAAACTAGACTTCAACTTATAGGAATTACTGCTCTTTTTGTAGCAGCCAAATTAGAGGTGAGCTTCATATTATTACAAACTTTCTAGTTAACAGTTGTTATTTGTCAAACATGTTTGTGCGTTTCCCAACACGGCGACTCTTCCAAATGAACACTGTCAAGCAGTGCATACAATTTTTGTTTCTTGGTTTATATTTTCAGTGAATTTATCTACACACACGAATATACCATACAATCTGTATTGAGTACATCTGTATCGTATAATGTACATTTTCAGCTCAATAAAAGATGACCAGCCTCCCCAAATATTTTAGGTGGTAACTAATATATAAATCTTATTTTCAGGAAATTTATCCTCCCAGATTATCAGAATTTGCATATGTTACTGATGGTGCTTGTACAGAAAATGAAATTTTAATTGAAGAATTAGTTGTATTAAAGGTAAGTTTAAGCTATTTTGGGGTTTGGGTAATGTCAAATTCTGTTCTTTGACTAAGACTATTATTGAAGAGGAAACCAGTATTGAACCAAATCTTACGTGAACTTGGGAAGTGCTTAATTGCCTATTTTACACCTCTTGTGAACCTGGACGTCTCTTGTGAACCTGGACGCCTCTTGTGAACCTGGACGCCTCTTGTGAACCTGGACGCCTCTTGTGAACCTGGACGCCTCTTGTGAACCTGGACGCCTCTTGTGAACCTGGACGCCTCTTGTGAACCTGGACGCCTCTTGTGAACCTGGACGCCTCTTGTGAACCTGGACGCCTCCTTGTGAACCTGGACGCCTCTTGTGAATGTACTCATTTCAATTTGCTATTCCCACTTTCACTTTTAGATAAAAGTCACAACTATATTAATGAGGCATCATGCAGTGCATTACATTACATTTTTGGCTTTTGGTGGTGACCAACAATAGTAGAAGTTGCTGTTTTTTTTACTCATTTCTCAATAAAATTCTCCAATTATTGTTTTTTTTATGTTCAGTTCTTTGATATATTGCTGAGAATTTTGATTGCTTGTAATGTTCTCCGTGAGTGGTTTTAGTAGGTATGTCTGCCCACCTACTTTCTAATGCAAATAGTAGAATTTGGCAGCTATTTGCAATTCCCACTGTCAAACCAGAAATGCAATTTTAAGAACACTGGTTGGTATGTTGATTTTTCTCTTGGATATTCCAAAATTTTTACTCTAATGCTGCCAGACACATTGTGTAACAAAATTCTCAAATTTCTTTTTCAGGCTTTAAATTGGGACCTTTCACCCATCACTGTAAATACATGGTTAAATATCTATCTGCAATTGTGCCATCTGAATAGGGTAGAAGATAGTGGTGATGACTTCACCTTCCCACACTATTCTGCCAATATGTTTATACAAGTAGCACAAGTAAGTATATGGTTGTGCCCAACCCTCTGTTCTAGGTGAATTCTTAAACGCAAATGAGCAAAATTATATTGTACACTCCTGTACACCAAATTGTATGCTTCAGCAAATATAATACCATTTTTTTCTATTAGTATTGTATGCGCTTTAAATATGTAAGTTCAGTATACCGCATATGAGATGTTTGGTTTAACCTTTTCACCACCAGACTTTCTCACCCAAATTTGTCTGCACTTTCTTATATTCTCCAATATTTCTGGAAATGAACCCTAATTTGGAGCCAACAGACAAAATTTGAGTCAATTTTCAGTTTCTAAAATTGCTATTCTTGTTGAAGGAAAGTGCAAACTATAAACAGGACTATTTTGTCAATTTGTGATGAAAAGAGGGAACTGTTCATGGAAAGGTTAATTGTTTCTATTCGAGATTTCTTTAATAGAGCAAATATGGTATTATGCAAACATTAAATCTGCAATATTTGACCATTCATTGCTTTCATTTCTTACAGCTCATAGATTTATGTATGTTAGACATAGATTGTTTACAGTTTTCATATAGTATCTTGGCAACATCAGCATTATATCATATGGCCTCGCCTGAAATTTCTTTCAAAGTCTCAGGTAAGTCTCTCATTGGCAGTTACTGCAGGTCTCACCATACTATTCAAAGAAATGAAAAATTTAATTTCAAATTTGTGTCTTGGTATGAAATCCGCCTTGCCAAGTAGATTGGTTTTACCGAATTTACCAATAGAAAAAAGAATCTGCAAACTCTGTTCAAAGAATGAAGTGGAAGACAAATGCCTTTTTATTACAATATGCTCTTTTTGTAGCATTCAAAGAACAAAATCAAAAATAAATTGAGTTCTATAGTTATTCTATGTGTTAATGGGAATTTAATTTAGTGGATTGTACTTATCAGTGGAAATAACAAAATTAAAAAAACTGAAAATAATTAATACCAGTATTTTCTTCTTTGGGGGGGGGGGGTGTCATTAACCCTAATTCTGTCAGCCCCATGTACTGTTATATTGAGGGTTCACCTAAGGGTTAATGATTTAAATGAAAAGTCAGTAATTTTCATCAGTATTTTCCAACCAGATATGTATAATATGATTAGCTCAGTTGTCTTAATTATTATGCTTACCCTCCCTCCTGACCTTTGTTTGATCTTTGTTAAGCCCACGCAGATAGGAAGTTCCTTCACGTTTCAAGCAATACAAAAGCTGTGACCTTTTTTTATGGCAGGGCAGGGCAGGGCAGGGCAGGGCATGACTGAATGTTTTCTGCAGTCCAATATGATTGAACTCTCAAAAGAATAACCAAATGTTTGTTTTCTTCCATGCAATGAGCACTTTTATTTATCAATAGATTTTACATATTGTATTCTGAGAAAAAGTGTTTCTTGTATATGCTTTCAGCCCCCAGTCCACTTTGATCACCTTCACCAAATCTGTTGACCAGAAGCCAACTTCCCAGCATCCTCTGAAAACTGCTCATACTGCAATAAGGGTAAACTGATTTTTACCAAATTTGTAATGTTTGTTTTTGCAGGGTTAAAATGGGATGATATTGCAACTTGTGTTCAGTGGATGACAGCATTTTCAATCACCATCAGAGAGTCTGGCATAGCGCCACTTAAGCATTTCTCACAAGTGTTGACGGAAGACTCACATAATATACAAACACATGTTAATGATATTAGCACACTGGTAAGTAGAAATACTATCATAGTTTTTAAAAAACGAATAATACCTATAATATTCTTTTGCGAACACATTTGATAATTTTCCAAAAATCTATTGCATATACTACTAGAAAAAATGCTATGTGGCTGTTGAGGGCATGTTACTCGCACACAGGCAATTACGTAATAGAATGATGAACCAAGATACGCCACTTGCCACAGTTGCCTGTTCTTGTATTTTGTGGCTTCTCTTAACCAATGATATATGACCAGATTAAAACTTCTTGCTTTGTCTACTCCTTCAGCATGACTCATCCTGATTTTGCTTTCATCAACAGGAAAGAGCACAAGAAAGACAATCACAGATCAATAGCGAATCACTGCGTAATAGTCCAGTCTTAATGTCGTGTGTTCTCACACCACCACAGAGCACAGAAAAGCATGGTGACATAGCAGTATAAACAGCTACAATGCCAATGTAAATAGTCAATCAGGGCAAGCTGATGCAATCAAAACTAAGCCTTGTCTCAGGTTCTTTTAATGATCAAGCAAATGCGTAACTTCTCTACGCCAGTATTCATTTACATTTACCCATTAATGCCCCCCTTATTTTGGTACGTTTGTACTTTTCCTGTAAATCTAGGAGACTCGCATTTGCTTGGTTTTAATGTTATCGGAACAAAAGTTAGATTTCCCTTTAGGGTTGGGTAGAAATATATTTTAGGTAGTTTTTCAAGTCTGTATTCGTATATAATTGTAATCTGTGCACCAGCTTTTGGTTACAGTACAGATTTCAGTTGCAATATTATTCATCGTTTTGTAATGTGCTCTACTGTTAGAACGTGTCAATAACAAGCACAAAACTATGCAATCTTCATACGAATTACACTCGGAATTATTAAGTTTTATCAATTTATTAGTATCAATTTATTTGTATTATTGATTAATACAACCAAGGTGCTTTGCTACATTGTATTTATACAAACACTTAAATGTCCCATATTTTTTATTTACCGAGAACGTGACAATTGCTTGATTTTATTTCTTTTCCAATTTGCGAAGAGGCTATCATTTCTTTTTCAGAGAGACTGAAGTACAGATAAAATTAGAAATGAAAATATGTTTATGAAAAATATTTAATATGTAAGTTAGGAATGGAATGGGGTTGGGAACAGGGTAAAATTTAGTTGAGCTTGAACTGAAATGTACTATGAAGTAGTTATCATTTATAGCCCTGAAATTGTTCAGAATAAGTGTAGATGCAACTATTGCAGATATAACTCCCAAAAAAATGCTTAAAAATAAGTTATTAATTGTAACATTTTTTGTTACTTGGTGTTTGAATTTGAGTTTTATACCATATTTACCATCAACAATTCAATTCCATCTCTGTACAAGTTTTATAATCAAAAGCTCTCATGTTATTGATGGTTTCATGATGTAATCGTACATAAAAATCCCCTATCCCTATTTAAAATGGAAGAATGATTACTTCAAAATGCTATCAGGAGTGCTTTTTGCTAATTATTAAAACTGTCATTTTAAGTTTTATTATTCTAGTTGTACTTTCTTTTTCTTTCAAACCAGAATGTTATCTCACTTACATATTTGTAATTTTATTTGCTGTAAGCACAAGATACAAAGTTAAAAGGGAAATGGGCAATCCAGTTAGTGTGGCTGAATTGACAAAAAAAAAGAATTTTGTGTTAGAGGGTATGCTTCCTTTAATGGAAGTTTTACTTAAGTTTTTTTAGACAGTCTCTTGTTGTACCATGTTGGGTCATAATATATGAATGACGTGTATCTTGACGTTTTTAAAGTCCAAGAATGTATGATAGGAACAAGTAAGTTTTAATACACATCTTTGAGCTTCCCATAGGTCTGAGATCAGTTTTCTCTTTGAATTTGTAAAACATAAATTTATTTTTGTTGTAGGGAGAATTGTTAAAATAAATGAAATCTCTCAAGAATAAAGTTGTGAGCTTTGTTTTGTTTCTACAGTTTATGCATCTTTAGTCATAACACAGGAGCAATTTGTTGCACCCTACCACCACCACCACCACCACTGTGAGAAGTCTTTTAATAACAATCACAGAATGCAGTGGTAGCACCAGGACCCATACAGTTGTAATTGTGCTGTGAGCAATACAAGATGGGTTAGTTTTCTCATTCTCGTAAACTAAATTCAAAACTATGTATGCCAGGATTTATGATTGCGATCTTCAGTAACAAATCTGGACAGTGTCCAATGGGATAACTATTGTAATACAGTTATGGTCCAAATTGCTTTGAAGGGGAAAACTCTCAATTCCAAATCCTATGGATTGCACCGAAGAATCATGGGACACTATTGTTTATGTTTACAAAGTTAATCTATCTTTTGTTATCCATTGTAATTTTAATCCAGAAAGTAAATTTGTTGTGAAATTAGGCTTTTAAGCAGTGCCACACATTGCATGGGCTTCTATATTATGATCAATACCATTGTGGTTGTACACATTTTAGTTAGTTTTTATCCCTGAAATCAGTTTTACTGTTGGAACCAACTGAACATTAGACAAGTCTCTGGTATAAACTATTATTCGTGTGACCCATTGTTTTTGCTGTACATTTATTCCTGTAAATCCAGGTCTTGATCATATAGCGTAGTTGTATTTATAGGCTGGTAGTAGTTAAAAATATCAAAGAAAGCTTAGAACTCCTGTGTGCTGAGACTATTGGAGAACATTAACATTTATTAAAAATTTCAGATTTGCTTTTTAAACAAGAAGCTTGGCAACTAATATTCTTGTCTGCTATTTGAGATGCACAACATGAAAACAATGATTCACATTATTATCATTTCATCCATGGTTTTTAGTCTAATTCCAGAGCACCTCTGTAATGAATTCAATTTAAATCTGATTTTTTTAGATATCAGAAATGAGCTAATAATAGATAATCAATATGCATGTTTATCAACATTAAACTAATGTTTGTGGATTACCTCAATCACAGTCCCTGATAGCAATTATGCATAGATTTAGGTCTGTATATTTCAGAGTGCACGTGTACAAAGTTTCATTATAATGTGATGATGAATCCTAACTAAATTAGTGGAAAGCTGAAAAGTAAATTATTCGGAAATTATTGTAGATGTATCTAAAACTAATTGGATCAAAACATTGTGTTAGAGTATACATGTACCAAGATTCATTGAATTGAGACGAGTACGGTCACAGAACCAAAAAATTAGGTAATTAATATGATCTGATTTTAACTCGAAACTAATCAGGATTGTGCATTGCCTTAGAACATCTATACATCAAGATTCATTGAAATGGGATAATTAGTACTTGCAATCAGTGTAAAAGCCGAAAATGAACTAATTATGCAAATGAGTTGAATAATATGCACACATTTTTACCCAAAATTATTCAGGTCTCTGCATTGTTCTAGAGCATCTATGTACCAAGTGTCATTGAAATGTAATGAAATAATAGTACATGAAATATCAAAGTTGAAAATAGATTAATTATTCAAATTAGATAATACTTCACATGTCTGTGTATTGTCCTATGTATGTATCTATGTAAGTTTCATTGAAATGTGATGATTAGTACCTGATATATCAGGAAAAGCCGAAAATTGACTAATCATTATGCAAATTAGGCTAATTATATGCATGGATTTTTACCCAAAACTAACCAAATCTGTGCATTAGTCCAGAGCATCTATGTACAAAGTTTCATCTAAATCCAATGAATGGCTCTTTAGATATCAGTGGAACAGCTACAAATTAGCTAATTATCATGCAAATCAGGTAATTAATATGCCCATGCAACAAAACCTAACCAAATCTGCACATTAACCAAGAACATCTATGCACCAAGTTTCATTAAAAACCAATATACGATTTTTGAGATATCAGTGGAACACACATACACACAGTTTAACTGCACATGGGAGTTAAAAGCTGACACTGAGGGCGCTATACTCAATTTGATTCTGAATCTTCACTCAAATTACATCTGTGGAATAAGTTTATTCTCGTGTTCTTCAAAATAATTCACTATTTGTCATGTCCCCAGAGATATTTCATAAATGTGCAGATACCAAGATGTTATCAATTATATTTTGTCAAGCTTTGTGTAAAAATGAAAAACAAGTTTCCCATATCTTATCAAATTTACATAAACTTTTCAAAGTAATGTAGATGCCTTCAATACAGAATCAAATGCCTAAAACTGTGTATTCCTGCTGGCTGAAAGTGTGTTGATATTGATCGACACCATTCATCTCGCTTGCATGCACGGTAGCACCAAGCACACAGGCAGCTTTTCTAGTCTATTGCAAAAGTTTCAAAAGATCATACCAGCCTTTATATATTACCTGGCATACACATTGTGTTGCTAAATGACTTTTTTTTTTGGTTTAAGTCAACTTAGTGATTTAGCACAGATTGATAAAATACATGTCATAGTTGCCTAATATAGCATATAAAATTATATGCTCTTCTGAAAAGACATGCAGTGTTCACTTGCGTCAAACACTGACATGGTGACATGTGTACATGTTCTGAAAGGATATGCAGTGTTAACTTGCAAACATTGACATGTGTACATGTTCTGAAAAGACAGGTAGTGTTCACTTGCAACAAACACTGACATGTGTACATATTCTGAAAAGACAGGTAGTGTTCACATGCAGTGTTTGCAACAAACATTGACATGTGTACATGTTTGGAAAGGACAAGCAGTGTTCACTTGCAAACATTGACATGTTTATATGTTCAGAAAGAACATGCAGTGTTCACTTGCAACAAACATTGACATGTATACATGTTCAGAAAGGACAAGCAGTGTTCACTTGCAAACATTGACATGCAGTGTTCACTTTTAACAATAACAGTGTATATGTTCTGAAAGGATATGCAGTGTTCACATGCAACAAACATTGACATGTGTACATGTTCTGAAAGGACAAGCAGTGTTCACTTGCAACAAACATTGACATGTGTACATGTTCTGAAAGGATATGCAGTGTTCACTTGCAACAAACATTGACATGTGTACATGATGTGAAAGGACAAGCAGTGTTCACTTGCAACAAACATTGACATGTGTACATGTTTGGAAAGGACAAGCAGTGTTCACTTGCAAACATTGACATGTTTATATGTTCAGAAAGAACATGCAGTGTTCACTTGCAACAAACATTGACATGTTTACATGTTCTGTAAAGACAAGCAGTGTTCACTTGCAAACATTGATATGTGTACATGTTCTGAAAGGACATACAGTGTTCACTTGCAACAAACATTGATATGTGTACATGTTCGGAAAAGACAAGCAGTGTTCACTTGCAACAAACATTGACATGTTTACATGTTCTGTAAAGACAAGCAGTGTTTACTTGCAAACATTGATATGTGTACATGTTTGGAAAGGACATACAGTGTTCACTTGCAAACATTGATATGTGTACATGTTCGGAAAAGACAAGCAGTGTTCACTTGCAAACACAGACATGTGTACATGTTCTGAAAGACAAGCAATGTTCACTTGCAACAAACATTGACATGTGTACATGTTCAGAAAGGACAAGCATGCAGTGTTCACTTGCAAACATTGACATGTGTACATGTTCTGAAAGACAAGCAGTGTTCACTTGCAAACATTGACATGTATACATGTTCGGAAAGAACATGCAGTGTTCACTTGCAACATTGACATGAAAACATTGAGATTTTTTTTTTATTATTTTGCAAAAACATTCATGAGTTTCTTTTTCATTCACATTAATAGTTTAACATTGATGATACTATAGCTACTTTTAAACTAATCTTCTCCCTAAAATCAAACTAGGCCCAAGTTTTCATTTCAATCAAAATGGCCAGGAAGAATAAATACTAGGAATACTAAATCCTGAGGAAGTACAGGTATCTATTTTTCATTCATGATTTATTACTTGACAATATTGGTACGTACGTTTTAGACTCTAATGCATCATTTTCCCTCACAAAGTAAGTGGTACATTACTGGTTCATGAAAATTCAAAAACTTAAAGGATGGTGGTCGCCGTACCACCAAATGCGAGATTTGGGTCACATGTTGGCGACTTTGATTGTATAGATCGTCCCCAAGTTTAACCAGGTAATGCACCAAAGGACTCAATGTCGGTATGTTGGTGCCTGATCAATACTCGCATACAGACTTGCCACTGGGAGAGTGAATTGAATTGTGGGAAAATCATTGTTCATCAACACAAATCTCGCATGTGTGGTGCGATGACTATCGCCTTTTAATAATATACTCAATGTCAGTATAATAAGTATGTAAGCAGGTTCATAGGAATATGAAACTTTGATATATATCGACACCAATGTATGCATTGTCATTCAAATCTTGCTGCATATTAAACATATTTGTAACCTGGATGCAAGAATGCAGATTTGATTTTATAAACAGAAATGAACGAGATCTGTTGTATTCAAAAAAGGGGAAACCCATGGAATGGATGTTTTGCGAATAAAGAAGAAATTTAGCAAAAAGACAAACACTTTTCTGAATCATGAGAAATGTACGTTGTACGTTTGCACATTTTATAAATCATTTTTGGAATTTGCATATATTTATATCACATAATTATGTATATACCATGCATATTAATCAGCTACTTAAACTATTGATTCATTTAAAATTCCACTTCATATTTCTTCATCTAAACAGTTCAAATACACATACATTGTGTAAATACTATTGTCATGCTCTGCATAAATAAAAAGCAGTAGACAAATGCATCTGTACAACAGTGAGTGCCGATACTGCTAAAGATGCAATATGGACAAAAACATAATTATGTTTTTCAATATTGTTGTTTAAAACTCCATATATAGACCAAATTGATTATGATTTACCAGTATCATTAAATACAAACTGTTGCATTTGCAGTACTCACCTGCAACAGTATTTGTTTGATAGAAAATTAAAACCACATACTGTAACCTCAATATAATGAACACCTCTATAATGAACACACAACATGTCTCCTGCTTACAACAAACCCAATGTATTATGTGCTTCAATATAGTGAACATTTCACTATAACAAACTAATTGTATGTCTCCCAAAGAGTTCGTTATAACGAGGCTACAGTGTACGCATGTGCAGTGATTGTCATTATACGTACTAAAGCCACCAGGAAACATACGTAT